TTAAAAAAAAAAAAGAATTGCTGGAAAAAAGTTATTTTTTAACACTACTAATATATCTTGAAAATTAAAGTTAAGAAAAAATTAAATATACAAATATATTATAAAAATAATAAATAAAATACAACGCGAAATCTACTTCGCTTCCCAACGAGGCAACATTAGAAGGTCCTTCAATCACGCCCACAACTCGGGCCATACATCAAATCACGATGGGAATCAAACACCAAATAGCTCTTGTTGCCCCAAAGCAGACCCTTCTCGTCTCATTCAGTCCATATGAGCACATCTCGCAGTCACATCACCCTCAACACGTAGCTATCTCGTCATCACTTCCCTTAATAGGGACACAACAGAACACATAGATCCAGAAACACGCCCACACAATCAGCACCTCAATGCTCAAGCTTCGGGCAAAACCCAGCCTCAAGTCCTCCAGACTAGCCCAACATCATTGCACAGAAATCACATCTCACCCCTCGATCAGGGGATCACAAGCCGTCAATGCACAGCTGATACCGAGCGCTCATGTTCGCATACGAACGCGTGGAAGGAATTCAAGAGTTACCTTTCAAGCTGAATCAAGGACGCACGATAAGAATTCAAGAAGGTGAAATTTCCTAAAGGTTCTGCAGCCTCCCGAGGATAAGTACAGACGTCTCCGTACCGATCCGCGAGACCCTACTAAACCTACTCATGACTCGTGAGACCTATGTAACCTAGGCTCTGATACCAACTTGTCACGACCCTAAACCCATACCCGGTCGTGATGGCGCCTCTCGTGAAGACAAGGCCAGCCGACACAAACCCCAAGTTTAATTAACATATATAATAATTCATAATCAAGTCATTAATAATGATAAATCCTAAAATAAAGCGAAATATATCAACTGCAAAAATAAAACACAGCCCGGCATCGGGGTGTCACAAGTCACGAGCATCTACTAAGGTCTGAACATAACTAAGAATCTAAAATGTACTACACACAGTCTAAGGAAGACAAGAGGGAGAAAAGCAGTGCTGCGAACGTCGAGCAGCTACCTTGCTAACTCCGATGACTCTGCCACTGAGCAACCAACACCCGCTACCGGGTTCAAAATAATACCTGAATCTGCACACAAGGTGCAAGGAGTAATGTGAGTACGCCAACTCAGTAAGTAATAAAAGTAAATGAAAGCTGAGCAGTAAGAAAACACGTAAGCCACGTCATAACGCTACGACAAATACAGTACATTTCCAAAACAGTACAGAAATCATTTACTTCGCAAATCAAGCTCAGTTCCGATAAAACCTTTTAAAACAACTTTCAATAGTTTCAAACGAGTGATAAAATAGTGAGTAAAAATGATAGAAATATAAACAACCTCTCGGGCAAAACATGTACCATAAACTGCCCCTCGGGCATAATATCATCAGAACCAGCCCCTCGGGCTACCTCACAATCACTCGTAATCAGCCCCTCGAGCATAACATGAATCAAGAACCAGCCCCTCGGGCTACCTCACAATCACTCGTAATCAGCCCCTCGGGCAACGTGGATCAAGAACAGTCCCTCGGGCTACAAAACATCACTCATACTGGGTACCCGCGCTCACTGGGGGTGTACAGACTCCGGGAGAGGCCCCTTACGACCCAAGCGCAATTACAAGCCATCTCGTGGCATAATCAATCTGCCCTCGGCCTCACATAATAAACAGGATAACCACACTGGGTACCCGCGCTCACTGGGGGTGTACAGACTCCTGGAGGGGCCCCTTACGGCCCAAGCGCAATATCAAGCCATCTCGTGGCATAATCAAATAGGCTCTCAGCCTCGTATCAATCACAAGCCACCTCGTGGCATAATAAGTCAGGCCCTCGGCCTCTCACATATCACAAATCAGTACCACATGCTGTAGCGTGCAGCCCGATCCCATAACATCCTCACAACACAGGCCCTCGACCTCACTCAGTCAGAACTCACTCAAGCCCCTCGGGCTGCCAGTAAAACAAGTACTCGGCTAAAAATATCATTTTTGAAATCAAGAGGAGTGAACAAAACCGTGTTATGAAAACATTAAGAACATAGCAACACTGAGTGTAAATATCAAACCAAAAACAGTGAGGAAATTAGTAATAAAAGCCCCTAAGTGTCCAAACAATCGGCACAAGGCCCAGACACGGCATTTAGCCCCAAACACAATAATACTTTCCAAAATATAACAATATCAAATAGTTTCCAAGTAAATACGCAACTTAATAGTCGTACGGGATGGACCAAGTCACAATTTCCAACGGTGCATGACCCCACGCTCGTCATCTAGCGTGTGCGTCACCTTAAGGTAGCACAACGATGTGAAATCCGGAGTTTCATACCCTCAGAACAGTATTTACAATCAGTACTTACCTCTATCTGGTCCAAACTCTAGTCCGCTATCCCTTTGCCTCTCGAATCGGCCTCCGGATGCTCCAAATCTAGCCAAAAACAGTTTCATGTCATCAAAATATGCTAAGGGAACAAAGCCCCCCGAAAACAATCGAAAAACAACGGGAATCCCGAAATTAATCGAACTCGACCCCCGGGCCCACGTCTCGAAATTCGATAAAATTTAAATCAATATATTCCTTATCTCCCAACGAGTTCATACATATCAAAAGTACCAAAATTCGACCACAAATAGCCCCTCAAATCCTCAAGTCAAGGTCTCCAATACCAAGCCCTAGTTTCCCAATTTTTAACCCTTAATTTCCATAATTACAGCTTCCATGAAATAATACCATAGAAACGAGTTTTAGATTCAACAATCTTACCTCAAGACGTTATCCCTTGAATTCCTCTTCAAAATGGCTTCCCCAAGCTCAAACCCGAATAAAAATGGTGAAGAAATAGCTAAAAATCGCGAAGGAAACCTTTTATACTTTCTGACCCAGGCTTTTCGCACCTGCGGTCCTTTTCCCGCTTCTGCGGCCTAATCCACCGCATCTGCGGTTTTCACTTAAATGGCCATTTCCGCATCTGCGGTTAAAAACCTCGCACCTGCGCTACCGCAGGTGCGCCCACTTCATCGCTTCTGCGGTTCCTGATGATATTCCTCTTGGTCGCATCTGCGGCTGCCTTCCACTTCTGCGAGCATCGCACCTGCGGCCTCCCATCCGCAGGTGCGGTTATGACAACAACAATATGCTTCAGCTGTCCCAACTCAACTTTAAACCTTCCGCCAACCATCCGAAATCATCCCGAGGCCCCCCAGGACCTCAACCAAAAGCACAAACCAGTCATATACCACTACCCAAACTTATACCAATCTTCGAAACACCTCAAACAACATTGAATCTATCAAATCACATCGAATTCAAGCCTAAGATTCCAAAAGTCTTTCGAATTCCGCTTTTGATCAAAAAGTCTACCAAACCACGTCCGAATGACCTGAAATTTTGCACACACATCCCGAATGACACAACGGACCTACTACAACTCCCAAAATTCCATTTCGACCACTATATCAAAATCTCACCTATCAACTGGAAAACGTCAAAATTCCAATTTCGCCAATTCAAGCCTAAACCTTCCACGGACCTCCAAATCACATTGCGATCACGCTCCTAAGTCCCAAATCACCTAACGGAGCTAACCAAATCATAAAAATTACGATCCGAGATCATATACCAACAAGTCAAATCTTGGTCAAACCTTTCAAATCTTAAGCTTCAAACTGAGAACTGTTTCTTCAAAATTCATTCCGGTTACTCTGAAAACCAAAATCGACGATTTACATAAGTCATAATACATCACACGGGGCTAGTCATGCCCGAGAACTGGCGAGCGAAGTGCAAAAGCTCAAAACGACCGGTCGGGTCGTTACAGTGTGGTTATAAAAGCTTCTCATTAAGGGTAGAACTGTAAGTTTAAGTTAAATTGTTTTCAAATTTAAAAAGGGGCCATTCTTTTTGGAACGGATCAAAAAGGAAATAGGTTCACACAAACTGGAAGGGAGAGAGTATAATATTGCTGATATGAAACTCCAGCGTGGACGGATTCTTCATTCTTTTATCGTGCACATCGTTTTCCAAAATTAAACCATTGCTAGTGAGTGCCATTGAAGCTACTAAAAGCTTTGAAGGTCCGCTAAATAAATTGATGTAGATTTTTTTTAGTTTCTTATTCAAATATTACATTCATTATATAAACCTATAGCAAAACCAGCAAAAAACTCCACCATGCCTCCACCTCTGTTCTTCTTAATCATGCCGGCCATAATTTACCACCTTCATCTTCACCAATCACCATAAAAAGGAAAAGAACCATCTACCTCCCATTTCTTTCGAGGACCAAGACTACTCCCAAAAATTTCGCTTCTCCATCATTTGTGAGACCAATTCTCACCATCTCCATTAACTAAAATTATTCTGAAGGGAGCAGAGATATCACTGCTGCCCGGGAGCATTTCTCTTTCACACCCCCTATCGGAAGTTGTCACCAGAAAAGGATGAAAGTGGAGAGATTTTTGTTGAGGATTTCAGTTTGGGCGTCTTTTACAGTCGGGGTTTTTTTTTTTTTTTTTTTCCTGTTGATTTAAGGCTGGGAGTGATAGATGATCCAATGTGCAGGTGAATCAATGGCAGAGGGCTGACGTTAGGGGCGGATGCACGATAGAACTACCGGGTTTCAATTGAATCTAATACTTTCGACACACTCGAGCATAAATTTATGTGGTGTTAGAGTTGTTCAAGGAAGAATCAGGTGATTGGAAGGTTCTGGTTTTTTAGGCTGTCTGACGTGGTGCTCCGTTAGTTGGGAAGGATATTTTTGCTCCAATTGATTAACAGTAAGGGCTTTTTGGTCCAAAAGGTAAACGGAGGATATTATTGGTCCTTTTCCGGTAAAATTATTATATAAAAATGTAGGAAAAAATAAAATAAAATTATTCAATAATAATAAAAGGTGAGATGAGAGAAAAAGACAAGGTAACAACGCGACCACACCAAATCGATCATTACATAAAGTAGTACATTTCGTCGTTACGTAACAACGAATTTAACGATATGATAGAACAAAACTTAAGTAACAATCAAAACGAACATCGTATTTAAAATAACAATATGATACAATACAATAGGTAACAACTATCCAAACAAGCTGTTAATGGCTTGAGGCCTTATGGAAAAACTGTGCGGGCTTGGTCCAAAGCGAATAATATCATACCATATTAAGTAATATTTTTGGGCCGTTTTAGTCCTAACACTTGAGATCTATAACACATATACACACGTATATACATAATTATAGTAAAAAACCAGAAAACAAATGCACTACAACAAATTTGAATAGTTCCTAATTAAGACAAAAGCCAAGCTACAAGGTCACTATGCTGAAGATCTTCACTCTGCATTTGATCAATTTCTATCATTGCTTTATTCGTGCAGTTTTGTTGCAGCCCTGCATTGTCATTACTATCCCACAACGACCAAGATGAAACATAGTAATTATTATTTGACATGTTGTTCTCTTGCTCTACTTCTTCATGACTTGCCCACAAATATTCCCAATCCCCCATAAATGTTTTTGTTTCATCACTAACAATAATTTTGTCATGTCCACCTTCTTCACTTAATACTTTTTCAATATTATTATTGCTGTTGTTATTGTTATTCTCGACTATTTCAAGATTTTCTCCTTCGCCGTTCCATAAACAGCTGAGCATGAAATCTTGATCTAGCTCTTCATCTTCGTCTATTAGCACAATATCATCACGCCACTGCATTTGATCATTATCTAGCTCTATGGCATTATTCCCACTTGGTATAATATTATTCTCATATTCTTGCCATAAGCTAGTAGTAATATTTATGGTGCTAGATGAGGCTTCTTTCTCTATATTTGGAGTTGAGGGCGTAGGAACTACATTCTCATTTGGTAAAAATTCTGGCTCCGCTACTGGCTGATCAGGTTTCGATAAATTTGAAGCAATAGACTTTGATGATGGACTTGTTCGTCTGCGTCTTTGCTTTTTTAGTTGTTGTGTTCCTTTTTTGGCTAATTCAACAACAGCTTGTGGCAACTTTTCATCACTTGGAATCCTTAAGCTTTCTACTTTTCTGCTCAAACGAGAATTCCAATAGTTTTTTATTTCATTGTCTGTTCTACCTGGTAAATATTCTGCTATTACAGACCACCTGCAAAATAAATTAAACATTTTTAATTAATGTGCTACTGCTAAAATTTAACAAAAAAAAAAAGAAAAGTCCCAATTACAGTTTAAAAGGATAGGAGTAAGTAAAAGGACAGTGAGACTGAGAAAAATTCGTTTCTTAGCAAAGGAATTAGTTTAACTTCTAAAGTGTAAATGAATTTTATTCTATCAAGTAAATTTTAGAAATAAGTACACAAAATTGATCATAATAACAACAACAATCTATTTACCAAAATAAAAAGTGAAACAGTTTGTTAATGTAAAAGTTGATTACATAGTCGATGTATATATAATCAAATTCATGGTTATATGTAGTCAAAGGCGGATGTAGAGGGGTAGTATCAGATTCATCTCAACCCAGTAATTTCGACGCGAAGCATAAATAATTTATGTAAAAATTCACTAAAATCATAAAATTAGTAGTTCTGAACCCATAATTAAACATGCAATGCATCCAATAATAAAGAATATTAAAGATTAAACCTATAAATTTAAATTTTGGATCGATCTATATAGTGTGCTTAATCTCAAATAACTACACGTGTCCTTTTCTCTTTAAATAGCAAGCTATCTTTGTCAGTATTATTAAGCACCGCTATCTGTGCCTACATACGTACAAAATTAAAGTCTTTTTCCACTTTTAGTGGTCACTGCTGCCACCTTTTGGTTTAACCGACACGGATATACGACTGCTATATTAAAAATATATTAATAAGGTTTGAAATATAAAATAACGATTTTAAATGTTAATAATTAAATTTTAAATCTAATATATATATATATATATATATATATATATATATATAATAAAAAATTAATTAATATAATTTTAAACAAAAATTATTGAATTTGACCGAATCCGTATTTTAACTTTTACCTACGTCTCTTAGATTTTTGTCTAAAATTAATGGAGGGAAGACAAACATAAATTGTAAAAAATTAATTATCAATGACAGAACACACCTGTTACCCAAAGTTGCACGTAACTTGATGATTATAGCTTCTTCAGCAGGAGTTATATTACCTCTCTTTAAATCAGTTTTCAAGTAATTAATCCATCTCAGTCTGCAACTCTTTCCACATCTCAGTAACCCTTCAAAGAATAAAAAAGAAAAGGAAAATAAATAAATAAACCGATTAGTTATATTATAATTAAGCGAGTGACAGGAGTTAGAAATATAATATAATTAAGTAAAAATATACTTCTAACAAGCTTAGATTTCTGATGAAATAATCACACCAGCAATATTATGGTATCGAAAGATAAGAAGTCATGGGTTTAAATTCTAGTGCTATTGAGAAAAAATATATTTTTATGTGTCTGGCCAATACAAAAAAAAAAATTATAAAAGGCGTGTCGAGACATAATATCATTAAGTATATGTTATCTAAAAGAAATGAAATCAGTTCTATTTTCAGGTAACCCCGTCAATTTTCTAAGGGCTAAAAATGGTGAACTGAGAATGGAGCTAGCACTTATTTATGGTTTCGCCCCTGGCTTTCTGATATTCTTCTGATTGAGAATCGATTCAAACCATATTATATTAGGTCGTCCTCGGTACAAAAGGTCAATTCAATTTTTATATTAAACTTTCTTTTACCCTCTGAAATGAAGTATTATACAATTTTTTTTTTTTGATGAGATGATCAAACACTTCACGATATTTATACATAAAGCGAAAATATATAAATGCAGCTCGTAATATGTAGTTTAACAAGATCACATTTAACATATAAGAAATGTACCAGCATTTTTGGGTAGTGATCTCCAAGATCCTTCGCCATTAGCCTGAATATATTTAGTGAGAATTTCATCTTCTTCTTCAGTCCATCTGCCTCTCTTGAGACCTACTTTATCACAACAAGGTGTTCTTCCCATTTGTTTGTATGAATGGTGTAGAACACACTTTAATTTGATATTTCAAATGGCATGCAAGTGGAGAGTACAGTGTAATGAGCCCCAAAATGAATGCCAATAAATAGAGGGAGAGACGGCACAAGTAGCTAGTTACTAACCCCATGCCACCTAGGGTAGGGCCGGGAGATAGAAGTTCAGATACGAGTTCGGTCAAATTCAGTAACATTTGTTTAACCAGTATTTTAATTTATATTAAGAAATTTATTAAATATATATATACACGATAATCGTTGCTGTTAGTTTTTTCTGGCATCTTTTTTGTTACAGACCTTTTCTTTTGTTTCTTTTTTTATATTATTGTCCCTTCTGTTGAGCCAAGAGTCTCCCGGAAACAACCTATCTATCCTTTTCGGGGTAGGGGTAAGGTCCGCGTACACTCTACTCTTCCCAGACCCCACAAGTAGGATTATACTAGGTATGTTGTTGTTATTGTTGTTGCTGCTGTATATACATACACGATAAAATTAGAATCTAATTATGAGATTTTGAAATCTTCATTTTTGGAGTTAATAAAGTTAAAATTCTGAATTCGACGTTACAGCACCACCTACCTCAGATTTGCCATTTTTGTGGTGTTGTTTTTGGACATTTGTCACATAAATTCTTCATTTATCTTAACATAACAGAGGTATAACATGGCAATAGTACATTTACTAATATTTTATTAGTACATAAAAGTATTAGCAAAAAGTTAAAGACAGTACTGTGATAGCATCATCTTAAAGTTTAAGTGGTTACAAATGTGACATATTTAATTAATTTATTTATTTGTATTATGTTTACACACACACCTAACGTGAACTTTCATGTGAATTCTTTTGATAATAATGAATAGTGGTGATATACTTGAATCCAGAAACTCTACTTGCTCCAATTGATATTATGTTAAAGTGTGCAAAGCTTAATAAAAAAATTAAAGAGTTTAATTATTTCTGTGCACCTATAGTGTATAATTCTTTTACGACACAAAATAAGATTACTTGTAAAACCGGTCATTTGTATCTATAGTAATTAGAATATCGTAATTTACTTTGGAAAATACAACAACAATCTGCTAGATCAATCAAAATTTATTGATAATATAGTGATAAGTTTTTATATTATTTAATAAAAGTTTTCTTTTATAAGTTGTTACGTTACTATAAGTTAGCTTATGAGCGTGTTTGGCTAAGCTTATAAGCTGGTCAAACTGGCTTATAAGTACTTTTTGGCTTATCTACGCGTTTGGTAAAATTAAAAGTGCTTATAAGTTAAGTGCTTATAAGCCAAAAATAAGCCAAAAGCCATAAGTTGGTCTCCCCCAACTTATCAAATTTCAGCTTATAAGCACTTTAGGTTTGACCAAAATATTTACTATTCTATCCCTAAAATACTTCTTTTTGAAACAAAACTCTTTGTATACCCAATTTTTTAGCTGCTTATTATTAATTTCGGCACTTTTATCCAAACACGTAACTGCTTATTTTTTAAATCAGCTTCAGCACTTAAAAGTATTTTTCAGCACCTATGTTTATCAGCTACTTTAAATCAGCTAAGCCAAACGGGCTCTATGTATGTAACTTTAGTGTGAACCAAACGTGGCATTGGTTGATCTCATATTTTGTATGCATGTCACTCGTAGAGGCATTGTACATATTATAGTAATTCCTTTCTTTAATTTGGAAGTTCGAGGATTGACGAGAAAAGGTAAACTTCATATCTGTTCAGAGATCAAACACGTGTACGTTTTTTTTTTTATAATGAACAGAGGCGGAGCCACAATATCAGTTACAGATTTGGCCTAACCCAGTAGTTTTGGTTCAAATTATATATTTATTTTAAAACTTTTATTAAATATGTACAAATTATTAATTTAAAATCGAGTAACTTAAAATATTAGAATTCCAAATCCATAAGCTTGAAATCCAGGCTTCGCCTCTGAATAGTGGTATCCTAAAATATATGTTTATAATTGTTTATAAAGAAATTTAATCTTGTAATTTTAAAAATACAGTAAATGAATTATTTTAACTAGTTTATGTGACACTATTGTGAACAGAACGTGGCAAAGGTTGACCTGAGATTCTGCATGCATGTAACTCGTATAGTCATTGTATTGTAATTCTTTTGTTTGGTAGTGCGAATACTGACGATGAAAAGGAAAAAAGGTTAACTTCGAACTTTTATTTGCATCAGAAATTGAGTTAAGATTAAAAGTTATGAATTTTATTCTTGTTATAAAATTAGTGTCGGACTCCGGACTTTTACTAAAAAAATTAAAATATCAAAAGTAAATACGTGAAACTACCAAGGAATTCTATATTTATTATATGTATAAAAAATTAATTTTCACCTTATGTATATAGATCGTCTTAGTTGTTGGATTTGGAATAAATTTATTTATTTATAAAAAATTTTTTTAATACAAATAAGAACAACAATAACAAAAAATCCAGTGTAAACTCACAAGTGGAGTATGGGGAACACGTATGCAGCCTTACCCCTACTTTGCGAAGATAAAGAAGATATTTCTGATAGATTCTCGGCTCAAGTAAAGCCATATCAAAGCAGTTATTAAAGGAAAATAGTAATGGATAAAGAGGTTATTTCCGATAGATCATCGACTTTAGCAAAATACAATCGAAGCAGTTATAAAAGGAAATACAGTAAAGGATTGAGTAAAAAAACTAAAATAGTCTCACAAGTGAACTATATTATAAAATCTAAAAGAAACAATAATATTGAGTCGAACCCATACCCAGTGGTGGAGCCACATTGAACCAAGGAGCAGAGGCGGCTCAACGGATTTAGTGGCCTAAAGCGAGCTATATTAAGAGGCCTCTTAAATTTATTCCGCAAAATTCATATAATAATGAAACACAAAAAATTTGCTTTCTGGTCCATTGATCCATCAAACTATGACTAAATAAAATAGCTAAGTCAGAGACCGTGAGTTAAAGTCAGAAAATAAAATAATCAAAAATATGAAAAGAAATGAATATACGGAGGAAAAATTAAAACTGAAGAGGAAGACAAAATACGCTAACTACTAAGAGAAAAAAAAAATTATTGTTATTTTCTAACTCATCTTTATAACCTCAACAAAATAAATAAATTGTTAAAACATGAAATCTCTTACTAATAATTAATATTATATAAAATTAAGTATATATTATGCATAATAATACAGTAAACTCCTAGTAATATTTTGGGGCCCTTTATTTTTGGGGGGCCTAAGGCAATGACTTTAGTACTCTTACCCTTCGGCCGCCTCTGCCAAGGGTATCAAGCGATACCCCTTCATTAAAAAATTATACTATATTGATTGATAATTTTTTTTAATTTTATGTATATTTATTATACGTTGACTCCCCTTAATTTTTGGATATATCTAATCTCGTACTCTAAGTTAGTGATTTGCATGTATGGTGGTGGAGGATACCACGCAGTGAGTTGCTCTAAAGGTTTAAAGAGAAGTCGTGGCTTGACCACCGTCGAGTTTTCTGTTCACGGGGCTCCATCACCATTTACTATTTTTCATGTTTATGTCATTCAAAAAGAATATGATTAATTGCACCATACACTCCCATACTAGTAGCTCTTATTAATTTAATTTGTCCATCTACTTCTGGGCACCTCTTCAACTTTATTGAATTTAATTTTCCGCGTTTGGCTGCTTTTTTTTGTGGTCCTCTATTTCTAATTCGTCTGTATTATTTGTATAAAAACACACTATTTTAGTAACTAACATTTCGATTAGATACACAGGGGGAAGGGTCGACTTTGCTCATTATACTCTTTGAGATTGAGCAATTTTTTCATTCTTTAAACTTTTGTTCTAATATATAGAAGGTCTTGTCGTTAGGAAAAAGTCTTGTTTTTGCTCCTAACTTTTAATAGAGCTCCAATATAAGCTACAACAATAACATTAGTATAATTATCCCATAAATGTTGTCTAAGAATAATAGTGTATACGCTGACTTTATCCTACCCTGTGGGGATTGTTTCCAAAGAATTTAAATCATAATCAAAAGTCGAGCGATAAGCAAAGGCAGAGCAAGGATTTGAAATTTATAGAAATCCAATGCTCGTTATAGTTATTGGATTCAATAAATATTTTTATGTATTTAATAAGTTTTTTTTTGTATATAAATACAAGCTCTAGGCAAAAACTACTAGATTCGTCCAAAATCACGGACCACACTAATGACCTAGCCCGCCCCTTGGGTAAATTTGGACCTTTTTTCCCGAAAAATTTAACCTATTTTATGCTGGAGCTCCGTTAATGAAAGAGGCAAATATAAGATATGATTTGCTAATAACAAATGTTTGAATGGACCAAAAGTGTATTCCTATATATTTTGTTTCCATCTACCTTTGGGCACATCTAGAACTTTATACTAATTAATGTTTCCATTTTTTGGTTGCTTTTTTTTTTTTTTTTTGTGGTCCTCTTTTCCTATTTTGTTTGTATTTTCTACTTGCTAAATATAGACTTTAATTTCTATTTTGTCTATGTATTGGTTTAAATTTGGCGACTAGATAACAGTAGATACAGGATCGATGACGGGATCGACCACAGCATAATAGTGGAAAACCGTCTTCAAGAGGATTGTAGTCGAGGAAGGGCAACTAGGATAAAGAAATAACTGTAGGATAGATTTGGGAATGAATACAAGGAATATTCCTTTGAATATTCCTTATTTTGTACTTTTTAGGGTTTCTTGGAAATACTCCTTATAAATAGGAAGAGATATAGAATAATAGGAGGATCTTCACTTTCTGAGAAAAAAGACATTGTAAAAAAGGTTGACTTGAGAGAATATAAAAAAGTTGTCTTGTTCATTGATTATCTTATTCAAGCGCACGTTATTTGATCTTTGTTCACAAGATCCAATGATTCCATAACCATCTTCGCTTCTCTTCTTTCCACGTTGTTGTCAGGAGAAAGAAACATCCAAATCATACAATAATTGGGTGGTAGACTCTTTCTTATTACATTTATTGCCATTATCTTTTATTGCGTGTTTATGTTATCA